TTCATTTATTTCTTTTAACGCAACATGACTCACTTCTGTTGAACCAGAAAAAGAAATTCGTGGCAGGTTTGGTTCTAATTCATCTGCGGCTCGATTGCGTGTTTTGTCTACTTTTAACCATGTGCAACAAGCAAACATTAGTCGTATTGTTGCAAAGTGAAAATCAGTACAGCTTCAGAAAGAGCAAAGATCTACAGAAATAGCTAGTATAGATTTCATAGAAAATATATGTGCAAAAGGAAAAAGACTGTTCTGTGAACCCCAGTATTTTGTTTTCTGAATTGTAGCTCTATGGCATCAGAGGTATAGCCTATAATTGGTTCCAGAGTTATTTACGAGAAAACAATATGTACAGTTGGAGTTGGACGGGGATCGATGCTAGGTCCTGAACTTTTCATTTTAATCATGAATGGTAATCGTAATTCAGAAAAAAATCTATATGTACATTTTGCTTATGATATCACTGTCCTGCTAATAAGTTACATACATTGTTGCTATTGTCAATGAATCAGTCAAATTTAAACAATGGTTTAATGTCAATGGGATAACTTTGAACATACACAAAACAAAATATTTAAGAAATAGCAGTAAAAATGTGAAGTTTGGTGTTATTACTGATGGAACAAAGAAATGGTGGATGAAATCAAATTTCTTGGTGTGATAATAAGGTTTGCAAATAGTCATAGACTGATTTTAAATTAACTCCAATTTATTAATGTTTTATTGGCCTTTTAACAACCATGTATTCAGAGATCTAACCAAGTAGTCTTACAGTTTACTATTTATTAATGATGGCTATTCTAAGCTACAACTCACTTTCAAAAATGTCTCCAATTCTTTTTTGCCTTAGATTAACTGCATATTCCAACTTTGGACATGACATTATATTGCAGGGTTTAAATAAATGTAGATAAGCTGGAGTACAAACTGGAACTTGTTTGTCATGAATGAGAATCAAGAGAAAAACACAATAATGCGGTGCTATGGATCCATCTTTTTCATTGTACAGTTAATAAATGACTTGCATTACAGATACTGTATTACTGTCACTGATGAATACAAATGAGGTGACAGGGCCAGGTTATTCAATGTGGTTTTCTGATTGTGTTTATTGTATTTTCATTAGACTGATGTGTATTGAGAGAGAGAAGCAGAAGGCAGAGGACAGACCCAAGGTTATTGATGTAGGCTATTAGCCCTGAGCAGCCAACTGTCAATGGGGACCCCGGCACCGCTATTTAAACAATGCACTAAACATGTAATTGCAAACAGAACATTATTACAGGACTGAATTTTAAAGCCTCTGTGGATCCCTAGTGTGATTTAATGCCCTGTCAGGCGTTTACACTGAAAAATTACTGAGTGATTTAGTGGTGACCCCAGTGACTTTTCCTATAGATGGAAAAGGGAAGTAAAAAAGGGCAAGAAAAAAGACAGGAGATACACTTAATGGGAGCTAGTAGATTCAGAATAAGCAAAAGTAGGTTAAGATAAGACAAACTATAAGCTTTCCAACAATGTGTGTCTGGCAATGGATGCTTTAAAATAACCCAAAAACAAAACAAAACAAAACAAAAAAAAACCCCATTGTCCTCAAGCTCACAGTGAAACCTGTAATTGATTCATACCTTTCCCCTCTCCTTGGACTGACTTTATTTCTGCCTTTGCCCTCCTCTTGACCCTACTCGGCCCTCCATTTTTATTCAACCCACTTCCCTCCCTGCTTTTTGCCTCTCTAATTAGCTGCATTAGCATTTCACAGTCATTTAGTGCTTCGCCGGAAGGAGCTACGATGACCTCGGAAGAGAGGTTGGAGAGGGCTTACACACAGCAAGCACACAGATGCTTGCGTGAGAGTGCCCATTTATGCATGCACGAATGAGCACACTCGCACCGAAAGACACCAAAGATGACTCAAAGCAAAGCAGCTGTTTGAAAACAAAATGAATGAGAAGAATTGAGCAATACAAAACAATGTGGACAGGGCAAGAAACAAGTCAAAAACAGTGAAAAGAAAAAGGACTGTATAATTTCAGATGAACTAGAAAAAAAAGAAAAAAGAAAGAGTGGCTTTAAGATATAAAGTGGCGGACCAATCTGACAAAAGGAGGAGAAGAACAAGAGTGCAGAGCTGCAGGGAAGCATCTCCAGGGATCACATCACCAGCAGCATTCCTACCAGACAACACCAATCTCCAATTTCCCCCTGAAACAGGCAGGCACTCTGCTCTCCTCAACCAACTTGGGAGCACTGCAGATAGCCTCGGCTGACGAAAGTATTACAGCAGCACTGCAACAACACCCATCTTCCTGTCTGCAATCAAAACCTACAACTCTGACAGCTTGTATGCATAGGTGCATAAATAAATGTTCCATCTGCATCAGTTAGGTGTAAGAATAAGAGCGAACGCCAGAGAGTATGTGTGTTCTGTATCAGTTCAGGTATATGGGTTAATGTGTGTTATGTGTGACCCTCTCGTTTGCATGCAGGTGCTCTTGTGCATATTTCTGCAGGTTGTTGCCATGTTTCAGTGCACTGATCTTAGGAGGATTTTATACTGTCACTCTTGAACAGGCTGCGTGTAACAATGTAAGTAAAAAGTCAAGTCTGGAGACACTCTTTAGATCGAGGTTGTTCGTGCGAGAGGTAAAAGAAAAAAAAACAAAAACAAAAAACTTTCTACATACCCATTCTGCATCGCTGTGGGGTCATACGTCAAAGCCATACCACTCTGGAGAAAGAAACACATACACCGAAATGTTAAATACATGACTTGCCTTTTTAACCAATTTGTGTTTGTGGTCTTTATCACATATACAGCTACTCTATACAACTAAATAAACAATAAAGTATGATATACCTATTGTACGTTATAATGCATAATGAACAGAGAAAGCAAACTATACAAGAGTGTTGTACAAAAAACACAAAATTCAAAAGTGACTGGGATATAAGGACCTACTGAATGAACAATAGATAAGCAGTCTAAAGACTCCAAAATAAGCCAGCTAAAAGCTCTTATGTACAATAAAATTATTTGGAATAATTGCCTTTGAGCAAAAGAGCCATTTATAAGTGCAGTCGTTTTATTTAACATGCTCAACAAAATCAAACACATGAAGGTCAGTGAGGGACGATTGTTGCATGTGGTATATGACTATATAAAATAGGTGGGAACAAAATAAGTTCCCAGTTCTAACTGACTCTAAATTTTAGCAGACCAAAGACAGTGGAACGTTTTAGATTTTCTTTACCGTTTCTCCTTAAAGGTTTTTAAAAAGACAACTTTTATGGTATGAGTTTAACTCCACTATCTGGCTGGGCTTTTCTGGGTTTACGTGGGTTCTCTCCAGGTACTCTAGCTACCTTCCGCAGTCCACAGACATGCAATTACTGGGGTTAGGTTAATTGATAATTCTAAATTGCTTCTATGAGTGCGACCCTGATAAGGATAAGTGGAAGAGAATGGATGGATAGAAGTTTTATGGTACTTTATTTTCTTTTACAAAAATCAGTTCACACTATACCATGTTTGATTATCCTGAGGAGCATTCAAATAAATAAACAAGACATTAAGAAGTTGCACTACCACCTAAGTCAAACAAATCCACGCTGGTTGGCATTAATGGAGGTAACAGCCCAACATAGGAAAGTTAGAGATTACTCAAAAGTCCATAAGAAGGGTGTGGCTCAGGAGGTAAGTGACATCTGCTCAGAAGGCCAGTTGTTTGATCCCAGCCTTCTCTAGTCCAAGTTGAAGTGTTTTTGGGAAGCGCCCCCCATGTTCCTAACACACATTTTATCCGTGTGTGTGCCTGAGAGTGTAAGAGATTTTTTCTACACAAACTGTCACAAAGTAGAGTACCAGTGTGTGTACTGTATGGATGAATGTGGCTCTTTCAGTGGTAAATAAGATAATGTTATATAATAGCAATAACTAACACACACACACACACACACACACACACACACACACACACACACACACACACACACACACACACAGTCAAAAATTGCCAAAAGCACTCAAACTACTCACTGAAACAGCCCAAACT